GTTTCTACTTTCAGTCTTTGAATAGAGATCTTTGAAAAAATTTACAAAGGCTTCAGAGATTTCTTTGGGGTCCCCCATCTCTCTTTGCATGATTTGTATTTTTGAGCTATGATTCATTTTCCTCCTTCCAGAAGCATGTATAATCTGGAATTTTTATCTCCTGCTTTCAGCCATTTGATCCTTGATCTTTGTCTCCAATACACTTCTTCACGCCTTACCACCTTTTCCCATTCTTGTCTTAAGATGGTTCTCCTTCTTCCGCTCTCCTCTAACTGGCCAGTTTGCTCCTTTTGGTCTAGGTCATCTAATTCTGATAGCAAGAGTAGTTTCTCTTCCTTCAAAGCTTTAACTTCCTCTTCCCCCCACCTTTTTAGATTTCTTTTCACATACTTTAGCTTTTCCAAAAATCTATAACTTGGCCAGCCCCTTCCACTTTGCATTCCTTTCACCAGGTTGCCACCTTCTTGGAAAAGTCTTTATGCTAAGTCCATAATTTTTCCAATTTGAAAGGGGTTTTCCCTTGATGCTTCAGATTTATGGTAAGTGCGATTGGCCAATGATCAAAGATGCATCGGGGCTTGATCTCTTGATAGGTCAATGGATAGAGATCTTCCCATTCTGGTGATATAAGAAATCTGTCTAGCCTGCACCTTAAAGCATTCTCCTACATGTTGGACTAAGTGAAATTACCATTTCTAAGGGGAGGATCATGCAACCTGTGTCTAGAAATGAATTTGTAGAATTCCCTCGTACTTATGTTTACTCATTTCCCGTTTGAGTGCTCATAACTGAATCTAGTGACGTAGAAATCCCCCACCCACAACCCAGGGGATGTCTGCCTGTTCATGAAGAGAATCCAACTCCTCCCAAAACTGATTCCTCTTTGAGGGGGTGTTTGGACCATAAATTGCAGTTAGGATCCAGGTGAAGTCCTCTTCCTTGTTATTGAACAAGATTGAAATCGTGAAATCACCTTTGTCTATTTCTACTCCAGACACTACATCTTCTCTCCACATTATGATAATTACTCCTGAGGTGCCTATGGCCAGAAGGGCTGCCCAATTTCTGCCTCTTGTTCCCCAAATTGATTTTACCAATCTCCTGTCTACGGATTCTTTTTTTTGTTTCCTTTAAGAGAATTATGTTAGGATTCTCTCTTCTCAACGTGTCTTTCACTATGCTTCTCTTGACATCACCACCCAACCCCCTTACATTCCAGCTCAATATCTTCATTAGTTTACTCTAGTTGGCTTTCCCTTACTTAATCTTCTACTCTCTTCCCCTATGCTATCCGCATTCTGGCCTACCATCCCCCATTGCAGACGCTTTAATTCCCTATTGATTCCCTTTCTTTTTCCTTGCTGTAAGTCGTTTACTTCCTTAGGCTCACGAACTTCCTTTGTGTTCTTTCTTTCCAAGCTCAAGATCCCACTAGTTCCACTATAGTGAATTCCTAGTTTCCCTACCATCTCTATAACTTTAGTTACTTTCTATTTTTCCTTTTCTCGGCTTGCTGTAACTTTGGCCTCTGCTTTGGCCAGCGAAGTTTCCTTTGAACTAGAACTACGATCGTGAATACTGGGATTGTCCAACGGTTGGGATTGTTGGTCGCCTGAACCTAGATCACAAGGAAACAAATGACTACAGTGAGAAGGAGGAAAGCTACAATGATTAAAAGGACGAGCAAATTCGAGGTTAAAAGAAGAGCAAGATCTGGATGAGGTTGTGTTCAAAGAGTGCAGTGAGTTTCTTCCTCGTTCATCCTCAGGGCTTCTGTAAGTAGGCAACTGAATCCCATACTCCGGATCAAGTAAACAGACTTCTTCCAACAAATTGACGCACCCCCACTCCTTTCCTCCATCAAGGAGAGCTTTGGCTCTGGAAAGTGTCACTTCCTGTGGGTCGGCCTCTGTCTCCGTCTTGTAGGAACTCATACCTTCATCTGAGTCTGACTCTTCTACTTCTCCGGAGTAGCTTGACGATGGGTACTCGAGTGTCGGTGAACGGAAGACTTCTTTCTGGCGAGATTTTGAGCTTGGGGGGGTTTTAGGGAAGTATCGTCCATTGTAAGTGGGAGCTGAAGAGAGGCTATGCTGAGTACCTTGACACATGCGAACAACTTGGGAGAGGTGGGTTTGGCTTGAGACAAGGCTAGGATTCTTAGCTGGATCATGTTTGTGTTGATGTGGCTCATCCGAACCCAAAAGAAGCACCTCTTTCTCTGAGCTGAACTTTCGAGCCAAGGCTCCTTTTAAAATTTGAAAAGGCTTCCTAATCCGACTCTTTGAGCTATTCTTTCTTGCTTCCTCTCTCTTTCTATTTCTCGGTAGAGCAAAAGCCCGCCTATTCCCGACTTTGCCCATCTCTTCAAAACCCACCACAGGTTTTCCTTCCTTTGCACGTAATCGATCTGTGCCATCTCTTGGTTGATCGTGGGCCATAGAACTCCCATGTGTTTGTCTACCGTTGCTTCGAGATGACTCAACGAGTTTGATAGTTGACTCGGTTGTCTTCTCCACTATGACCAAAGCAAAAAACTAGACATTCCTATTGAGGATTGGTATTGATCGAGGGATAGAGTGTATTCCTCGATTTTTCACCTTCAGTCAAGCCTCCCTCAACTCAGACAAGCCTTTTGTTTTGGGATTGACTTCTTCTAGTCCTCCACACAGACTTCCGATCAGCTCGAAAACTTCCTCCTTCCACAAGTGAAACGGGAAACCATCCATTAAAGAGTAGATTTGAGGGGACAATGTTTGCAGTTGGCCACCAACAGTTTAGCTTCACCCAACTTTCGTAAATGTAGAAATTCTCCATTCTAGCCCAAGCAAAGGCTAGGTCTTTAGAAGGAGTGAACCCACCGCTTTGTTGCTGGAGAATGGGTAAAGACGGATGAGGGTCGGAGAGTGAAGGTTTGCTCAGAGGTCGAGTTCGATTTCATTCCAACCCAGTTTGTCAGTTCTGGTGCACACAAACACATTCTTTCAATAACCAAAAGGTCTTTCTTGGGTGGCGATAGAGATATAGGCCGAACCTCCAACCTTCACAACTTTACTCTGCCCGATCGTCAGTGACGGGAAAGTAGCTGGGGTTTCAGAGACTGAAGGTCCGAGCTTAGGGGTGGAAGAGTTGAGCACTTTGAGAAAAATTTTCCAACCTGACTTCTTTTCTTCTTTCGGTATGCAGGTTAACCTTTGTTTTTTGGCGAGTTCCCAACAACTTAAACGGATGAATCTACCCCAACGATTTTTACTTTGTTGAATTAATACACCTTCCCTCTGTGAGCGTGTTTGCGCTCTTTACCTATTCCCGTTTGCATGGAAATCACCTCTCGGAGGAAATCTCTCATCCAGGTTGTCTCCTCTGCTTTCAAGGATATTATCGACCAACCACCCTTTCCTTTCTCAGTAAGCGTTATGAAATCATCTTGTTTGAAAGGTTTTGTGTTGAACTCAAAGGATTTTGAACTGATTGCTATTGACTTTCTCATTGTTGTAGTAATCTAGGACTTGTCGCAAGTTTCCGGTGTTAACGGTCTCTGGTGTTCGCAATCTCTTGATGCCTCACCTTTCTCACCGATGACATGCTCCTAGATCAGTTCAAAGAACAAAACCCAAGCAAACCCCTCTTCTGAGGTTAAGTTTGATTATGAATTCCATTAGGATTTCAATCCACAGTGTACCAACAAATTTCCTCATACTTTCTTCCTCCCTCTTTCTTTCAAAGGCTTCAATAGCTTTCCTAGCAAAACTCTCCCCTCCCAAAAAGAATAAGCCCAGGGACTTTCTGATTTCCACCTCTCTATCAACTAACTTCTTTAAATCTAAACTTCCCTTCTTTTTCTCCTCCTCCAACGCCACATTGGAAGAAATCTCAAGGCTTTTATTAACATCCAAGCAAGCCGTCTTCTCTACCAAGTCAACCTTTTTCAGTTCATCACCTTGGGGGTTTGCTGGATTAAACTCATTCCCATCTCCAACTTGTAGAGATTGCTTCTCCACTTGTGCGCTCTCATGAAAAATATTTTGAGAGTTTGCTTCTCTTCTTTTATAAATTCTTTTGTATTTGCTGGTCAACCTTACTCCTACCAAACCATCTTTGAATATTGAAAAAACCTATGTAACATGGACAACATTAAACTTACTTGAGTCAACACCCTTTTCAACATTAAACCTATGTAATATGGATTTTTAAAATTCTGTGCTTTTTGCTTTTTTTTTTTATTTTTTTTTATTTTGAGCCTAATGGCTGGGATGGGGGACCCCCGCCCACCCCCTCGAGGCAAGTCTGAACAAGTCCATGTTAGGGTCTTAAATTCTTATTTCTCACATAAAAAATAATGATTTTATAACCTTAATTGCCTTTTAAGAAGATGTTTTATTGAAATGAATGAATGAACACCATTAGCAAATAGGGGGTTAGGTGTGGTACAAAGGCGACTCAGAGAATCAAGAATGCAATATGTTTTACATCACATTAGCTACTTGAAGTAATGCAATTGAGGAAAAAAAGAGATTGTGAGTTTTACATGCTTGAAAATTCTTTATATGTTTGCTTTTATTTTTAAATTTTCATTTGAATACACTTTACATGTTATGTTTATGTATTTTAATTTTAGATAATAGGTTTTTTAAAACATTTATTTTAAAATTTAAGTTTATATTTTTTTATTAACATTATGTTTAACGTTTTTTGATTTTTGATTTTTTTTTGAATTTTCTGACATTTTTTTTTTACTTTTTGACATTTTTATTGTAATTTTGTGCCTCGCTTCAAAAAAGGCGCGTGCTTTGCCCTTGTGCCTCAGGCACAAATTGGCCCTTGCGCTTTTAAAACACTGCTTATGTGTAATGTATGATCTTCTGGTATTGTGGTGATATATATCCAACATGAAACTTACAATTTTGCTTGGTTTATGATTAGAGCTTAAATATCTTTTAATGTTTGTTTACCTCTTTTCTTCAATGCACTAACAACTATTAGGACTTCATCTTTTCTAGATTTCCCTAGATCCTTTTGAAGTGATTGGAATGACAGAGAAAAGTGCTGAGCAGCACAGAAGAAGTGCCACTGAGAAGGAGGTATTCACCTTTTGTTGTTTATGCACATTAGATTTTCTGTATCTCATTTCTTAGATGCCATAAAATCTGATTTGATGTGCATTTAATTTCTTCTTTGATGCCATATCCTTTGATGTGAATGCAATTACTTTGGCATACAGTGCTTGCACATAGTTATGCAACTAAAAGTCTAAAACTTAAAGCTTGGTTATTGATTTGACTAATGGGACATGTTACAGTCATTTGCTCTAGTTCCATAACTAGAATATGATTACCTCATTATCAAAGTTGTTGGTTCAAATACAGATTATTTAAATTGGGTATGCAGTTATTTTATGTACATAATTTGGATGGTGATGCTATGAAACTGAATTAGACCCAGTGCCTCAGCCTCTTCTGTATCAGACCTCATGGGTCAATCCACCAGATTAGAGATACAAACTGTATGATGAAACTAATGCCACTGTGTAAGAACTGACAGTGGAGAGATCAGGCAACAGAAACTCAAGAGGCACTGACTACAGTCCTATGTCCAAAGGATTCTCACCACTCATGGCCATTTTATGTGGGATTCTCAAGGAGTGGAACCATTAACAAGCTTTCACAGGGACAGTAGAGGACTGAACAATAAGGAGAAAACAATTACTTTGGGTTTGTTCCTTTGAATCAAGTGGATGTGTTGTTGCCTGGGGTTAAAGCCTGATAAGGCAAGTTTAGCACTTAAAGTTAACCTTTTAGTTACCATTAGTTTCATATTTACCATAGCTCGTTTTGTAAACTCAATCTTTACTAGATATGATAGTTGGCATAAATTTTGAACATAAAGAAATACTGAGTTCATTGCAAATTACACAGCAAATTCTCATTGTGAATGTGCAACGGATTTTAATTTTCACCACTCTTGTAAACTGTTTAAGTCATTGCCTAACTTGTGGACTTTACTAAGATTTTCAGAAAATGGTATCCTATAACTTCTGCCCAGTCAAATAAGAGGATCCATTTAGGTGGTATTCTGCATGGGTCTTCTGTCTCCAGGAAAGATTTCTCAGTCTTTTCCATTTTCCATAAGCTGTTTTACTTATTGTCTTGTTCTTATTGTTGTCACATTCCTCTATATTATATTTATCTATAGTTAATTAGCGATTGTATGATAATGCTGTTGAGATGTTTCTTCCTCATTTAATAGTAAAGCTGCTTCTAAGCAGTTTTGTTCTTTCTTTTTGGTTTTTTCATTAACAAGAAAAGTTGTAATATTATATATTTGAAAGTTGCAAATTTCTTTTACTCTTTAATCAGAACATGATGAGGAGAGTTGATTTTTACACATATGCAGAAAGCACATTATCAACAAAAAATGCATCAATTTTCATCACTCAAGATGGATTGCCATAATGCTATTAGATGAAGGTTTATGTGTGTGTTTCATCTCTCCCTCCCTCTCCCCATCTTCCTTCAAGGTATAAAGTTTTTGCAGGTTTTGGATACCTTAGTTTCAATGAGAAAAGAATATGCAAAGGAAAGTTGGATTCTTTTCCCTTCTACTGAATTGCTATGAATGGTCTCCCATATTTAAAAACAGTCAGAAATCTACCTTTGGAAGGAAAGATCAGATATTTCAGTCAAATTTTGGCATTGAACATGAGACATGTCCATTGAACCCTTCCAACTGAGAACTATTTCCTAATTTTGATTAGAGTCCTCAGGCCGTAGTTCTTCTTCTACAATTAAACAAGATTTCCTTTCATGTCATTGTTACACTTTAAAGGGTATTTTTGTTCCTTTTCTTTTGTCTCTTTCGTCTTCTTCATGTCTCCCTTGGTTCTATTCACCCATTCCCAAAAAAGTAAAAAATAAAGAAGAATGAAAAGGAAAAGAAATGTGCTTGTCACATCAAATCATTTAATTTAAAGCTTGGTTGCATTAACATCATGATTCTTTGCTAACAAGTCAGTCACTATTTTTTTGTTGCCCTTTTTGCTTGTTACTTTCTCTGATGGTAAGGTCAACATTAATTAGGTTTTTATGGAGCTAATATAATGTGCTTGAGTAGGAAGAACATGAATGCATATTGTGAAGGTATCATGTATATTTTTTTATGCCCTTTATAGGCTTTTGAGAACTCTGGTACTGTGGACTTGCGACATTTTGCATTTTATGCATTTGCTGGTCGCACTGGAATACTCCGTTGGAGTAGAAAGAATGAGGTAAATAATTGTTCTTCTATTCTACTCGTATTTTATGCTTTCTTGGGATATTTCACTCATATATTTACTTCTCATTGCTGACCAAAAAGAAAGTAAATTCTCCTTGGAAAGATAAGCCATTTTGGCACTATTTTAAGTACACTTAACAGTCCTTAAGGAAGTTTTGTTTTTGATATTGGATGTACTGTTTTAAAGGCAGAGGCATGAGCCAAGGCACTAGGATCTGATGTGTGAGATGTAAGCTTCGAGATCTTAAACGACTTAACCATTGGCATTAGGGGTGGCCAATGCTACTAGAATTTGGAAAAACTGGAGTTAATAGAATTGCCAGTATTGTAGATAACTAATAACTCTTAAAAGACTTGATCAATGACTTTGAAGTTTTAAACACAAACTAACTATGACTATGCAAATCAAACTATTAGGCCAGATCCCACAGACAGTGTGTAAAATGACCAAAATAGTCCTGCTGTTGAACATTACATGAAATACATAAGAATTCAGAAATTTCCAATTTTGACTCTTTGGTTCCTGCATCATTCCCATTTTACCTTTCCCGGTTCACCCCAACATAAATTTTCTTTTGTTTTTTTGTTTTTTTGATAATAAACTTTCCTTTGAGTTTGAGACACCTGAATTTGCTAGTGGATCAGCCATACTATTTGCTGATCTAGGCAGCCACTTGGACTCTGACTCTCTTTAATATCTTACCAAGAGTGTGAATCTCATGGCACTTCTTTTCCATATTTTTCGATTAGTAACAGTCAAAAATTTTATTGATCAGTAAAAAGAATAAGTAATGTACAAGAGAAGCATGCCCTCCTTTCTAATAAAGGACAATATGCGTCAGGCCTCTTTAGATTTGCTTTTAATCTTACAGCTAGGCCTATTGGCTCCCTGCTCTATTGGGTGATGTGACATTTCATTTCCAAATTTCAACCAATTTATTACCATTTGGCAGTCTTACTGCACCTGAACCTCTGCTCAGCCAGCTCTTGAGGCAAATTTTAACCATTGGTATGCAGCAAGTAGCTCTGCTTTTTGTGAATTTCCAAAACAATTGGTCTTGAGATGATTAGAACAATGCTTCCCCTGTCAAAAGGATTCTTTTAGTTGACCCCACATAGTTGGACAAGGCTTAGACGATGATGATATGTACGAACTTGTCATTTTGCATTCCGGTCTTTGTAACTTCTTCCGTCTTACAAGTTGCTAGTGTGTGACATCACCCAATATAGCTCAACTGTTTTCCAGGAATTTTCTCTCTTTTTCCCCTACTTTTTTTATTAATGACTGCATTGACTTTTTGGAGTTTCTAACGTTCAAATGTTGAATATTGTCAGAAGCACATGATATGTATTTTTTCTGATGAACAATTAAGAAATCAATAACTATAGCCTATATAGAAAAGAACAAGTCACACACTTCTTTTGTTGACCTCAGCTTTTTTTGTTGGAATTTCTTTTTTGCCCTAAAACTTCTCCTTTTATATGATTTTTCTCCCTTCTTATATTTCATAGCATTTTGTCTTTACTATTCAGTCAGATCTCTTCAGTTCTACATCTTGAGATCCACATAAACAATTGTTATTTTGGGTTAGATTTATGTGGCCCTATCCTGTCTGTTACATGCCATACTCACAACTAAGTATTGGTTCTCTACAAGTACAAATTCTAGTGCAAATTGCAGAGAATTCTAGAAGGTAGCTTTGCTTTAGTTCTCAAAAAATATGTGGGCCGAACCCCTATTTTGTTATAGGAAAAGATAGTGTGTTGATTAGACAAAATTTTAAGTTCTTCCTTATTGGTTTGGTTTTTTAAGTCTTTGAGGGTTAAAGACAGCATTTAGCAATGTCTGTGTTGATTAAACCCTAACAAATAAGAAAATAGTAAAAAGAAATTAGTATATAAACACACAAAATGAATATTGTAGTTTAATAATGTCTATTTTATAATTATAATCTAAAAAATTAAGAATATAAAGGTATTTTATAACACTGTATAAAACTGCTTGGCGATTAGGCGAGGTGAGCTTCCATGGGCACCTTGTTGCCTAGGCATTGCCTTGACAGCAATGACCTGTTCTTTTGTAACCTTTTTCTGAATTTTCTGTTTTTTTTTTTTTAAAGATTTCTGCATCAAACATAGCACCTTCCCTGATCTGATGTCTAAAACATCAAAACTTGCACATGCCTTCCAGGTGCTGTACACATCTAGTATTGTTAAGATAGAAGAGTTTCCAACCCCAATATGCTCACTCACTAGCTGAGCCCAGTCTGGCCTACAAGAGGAAAGGGCCAGGCAACCGACAAAGGAAAGAAGTTGCACCTCATTTGTAGGCTACATCCGCAATGAGATGCTGAGTTTTGATGTTGAATACCTTAAGGCCTCATTTGTGTCTCGGTAAACGAATTATTTGGGTAAATGCACTTATCTAGACAAGTGTTTCTTGGGAAACACTAATACCAATATGAGCACTTATCACTGTTCTTCTATTCCTAGGTAAAGCTGTACAATGACCGATTTATCCATAAAAGTGACATTATTGAAAGGACAATATTGACCCATCACGTATTAGCGATTTTCGGTGCGCATGGATAAGCAATTTACCCAAGTCTAAGGAGAGTTTTGTTTCCCAGGTAAAGGAGCTGCTGGGGAAGTGTTCTTTTCTGCGGGACCCACTAAGTACTGGAAAATGAACGTATGTTATTTCTTTTTCGTGGGACCTACCAACTTACCCGCCCATACTTTCAGAAAACGAATGAGGCCTAAAAGTTACTTTTGATGAGATGCCTGACCTAGATGTTAGAGATTTGGGCATCTCTATAATTGTTTCTAAACCTTGAGGAGAAATGAGATCCATCTCTCATCCAAACAATAACAACATTAGAACAATGTTTTAAAATGTGGAGGCATGACGCGAGGCGCTCCACTACCTAGAGGCGTAGGGTGTATAGTTCAGAACGAGAGGCGTAAGCCTCTTTAAGAGGAGGGGGGATCCGAAGGGGTAGGGGGCAAACCACTTTCTTTCCCCTTATCTTTTCTTCCCTTCCCTTTCCTTTCCTTTCCTTTTCTCTTTTTTTTTTCTTCTCTTTCTTTTTCTTTCCCTTCCCTTTCTTTTCTTTTCTTTTCCTTTCCTTTCCTTTTTTTTGTCTTTTTATATTGGATGTGCATTAGGCGTACGCCTCTAGCATGCCTCATGAAAAAAGCGCAAGAGGCATACGCCTCAGAGGTGTTAGTGCCTCTGGCATACGCCTCAAGGCGTTTTGGGAGCGCCTCGCCTGGAGGCGTGCCTCCAGGCGTACGCCTCCCATGCCTTTTAAAACACTGCATTAGAATCACTCTCCATGAGAACATACAATTATTTGTATAATGTTACTGTTCTGGAGTCATTGTTATAATGCACAGAGAGCAAGTGTTTTCTATATTTTTTTATCAATAACTGTGGATTGAATTAATATTAAAAATATGTGAAAATTACAGTGCAAGGGGGCTAAACAATCTTAGCTCCCAAGAACAACCATTAAGCATCAAAAGAACAAAAATTACAAGACAGCCAAAAAAATAGAATGTTTATTCACCCCTTGTCTAGCTAGACCATTTGCCAAAGAGTTCACACTTCTTTTTACCCATTTGTGTTGGATTTCCATGTCCATAGTCAGCCACTTGAATTTCCTCTTTTCATTACTGTAATTCCAAAGTCTAAGACTATCCTCTTTCAGCCAGTTTACCACCACTTCAGAATCTCCTTCTATGATCAACTTGTTAATATGCATATCTTTGATTCTTTGTACCCCTTCAAGAGCTGCAAGAATCTCAGCTCTCAAAGAATCTTCCACCCCAACTGGTCCAGAATACATAGCTAACAGCTTCCCTTGTTCATCTCTTATTACTCCTCCTATTCCGGATGGCCTTGGAGCCCAAGCTGCTGCCATCAAAGTTCAGTTTATCAAAGTCATGGGGGGGGGGACCCAACAAACATTTGAGGCCTTCCTCATTGGAACAAGTTCTGCTATCTCCTTCCACTTTCTTTGTAGCTCATCAACTGAGAATTCTACGAACAGAGCCAAGGTTTTCAGCCAGTGTATAACCCTAATGTGGATGACCTCCAGCATTGCTTCCAAACTTCTCTCCTTATCTGTAAATATTCGTGAATTTCTCTCCTCCCAAATAGTCCAACAGATTGCAGCCCTTGTACACCTCCACATAAACTTGGCCCTTTTTGTTGGCCGAAATGGCATACATGTGAATAGGCTTTGCACATTCGAAGGGGGGGGGGGTCCACCTGCACCCAAACAAAGAAGTAACCTCTCTCAAATGATGTTAGTGAACCGACAGGAGATTAGTAAGTGATATCCAAACTCACCATCATCTTTACAGAGGACACACCAGTGTGGACAAAAACAACTATTGGGTCTTTTTCTTTGAAGTAAATCTGTTGTGTTAACTTTTTCCAGAAAGGCTTCCCAATAGAAACTCCCGACCTTAGGAGGTATAGGATGACACCACACCTCTTTAACAGGGAAAGACAAGCCCAGAGAAGAAGAATGTGTGAGAGCACTAAAGAAAGAGGCACAAGTGAAAGAACCAGAGGGGGTGAGAGTCCAAATTCTACTATCTGCCTTTGTTGGCTCTAGGAACACCCCTTCAAGAATGGATAACAGTGATGAGATACCATCAAGCTCTATATCCCTGTTATCTCTTCGCAGGCCCAAGTTCCAGCCGACCTCATAAATAGAATTAGAAGGAACAATGAATGAAGACACCGATTCAGTTTTAAAAGTGGAAAGGGCAAAARGGCTTGGGAATTGGTCTTTTAGGGCGGAGTCCCCAATCTAAACATGTTCCCAAAAATTAATGAGATTGCCTGAGTGCAAGTCATACCTGATCCATGAGAGAACAAAGGTAGAATAACTTGAATAGCTTTCCAAGGAGATGCTCTTGTACTCCTTGCCAGAATCCCAGAGTCCCATCCATTTGCTGCAACACCATGAATACTTTCCACTATTTTCACCCAAAGTTTGTCCTTCTCCAATGAGAACTTCCAAAGCCATTTCCCTAGAAGAGCCAAGTTCCTATTCCTTAAATTCCCGATACCCAAACCTCCCTCCCTCATACTCTTACAAACCATCTCCCACCCCACCCTACGATCCTTCTTTTCCTCCCCCGGCTCCCAGAGAAAGTCTCTCATTAGTTTTTCTAATCTAGTAGCCACCTTTGTCGGAATCCTGAAGATTGACAAAAAGTAAACAGGAATGTTAGCTAAAGTAAACCTGATTAGAGTGGTTCTCCCTCCAAGAGACAAATAGTTTTTCTTCCAAGTTGCTAATTTCTTTTCAAACCTCTCCACAACCGGAACCCAAAACTCACATTTCTGAGGGTTATCACCCAATGGCAAACCAAGGTAATTAAGGGGCCAGTTTTCTATTGCACATTCTAAGATGTTTGCAGCCTCATAGATCTCCCCCTCGCCCATATTTACCCCAACTATACAACTCTTCTCAAAATTCACCTTAACGTTTGATATTTCCTCAAAAAGTCGTATAGTGAGCTTCAAATTTCTAATCTTATTAGGGTCCCCTACTTCACAAAAGAGTATGGTGTCATCTGCAAATTGTAAATGTGTGAGTGGCCCAAGCTCCCTCCCAACTCTCCAACCTTTGATTAAGCCCCTGGAATCTGCTCTAAAAATTAGTCTCCCCAGAACTTCAGCTACCAAAGTAAATAAAAAGGGAGAGAGGGGGTCTCCTTGCCTAATCCCTCTTAAGGCTGGGAAGAAATCGACCACTGTCCCATTTACTAGTATGGAGTAATGGCAGTTCCTGATACAACCCTAGACCCATCTGCACCAATTATCCCCAAAACCAAAATTGGTCATCACCTCCATCAAGAAAGACCAATCCACCAAATCATAAGCCTTTTCCAAATTCTGTTTACAAATCACCATTTTTTCTTGGATCTCTTAAACTCCTCGAAGCTCTTATTTGCTATCAGAATCTGATCTGTTATCTGTCTCCCCTTCACAAAGGTTCCTTGATTATCCGCTATAATTGTTGGGAGCACTTTCCTTATTCTGATGGACAACACCTTGGTGATAATCTTATAAAGGATGCTGACTAGGCTGATCGGCCTGAAATCCTTTGGGTGACATGCACTCCTCTTCTTAGGAACTAGTGCAATAAAAGTGGAGTTCAGCCCTGGGTTGATCACCCCTCTATTGTGGAATTCATCAAACACAGTCCATAGATCTTCCTTTAATATCTCCTAGTAATCTTGATAAAAAGCCATCCTAAAACCATCTGGGCCTGGTGCCTTTGATCTATCCATTAGAGAACATGCCTCCCTTATCTCTTCCACTTCAAATTTCCTTTCCAACCAATCCTTGTCCTCTATCTGCAAAGTTGGCCATTCCATACCCTCAATCCACACCCTACTATTTAGGGGTTTTCTAAAGATAGACCTAAAGTGATTTGCAAAAGCCCCTGCTATTTCTCTTTGGGTGGATATTGTAACCCCTTCAATCTCCAAACTTAATACAAAATTCCTTCTTCTTCCACTTGCCACCGCATGAAAAAATTTGGTATTCCTATCCCCCTCCTTCAGCCATTTACACCTTGAATTTTGTCTCCAGCTTATTTCCTCTTGAAGAAGATAATCCTCTAACTGTTTATGCAATTTTCATCTTAGCTTCTTATCTTCTTCTGTAAGACAACCCCTTTCTTCCTTGCCACCCAAGTCCTCAATTTGTGCAGTCACTATTTGCTTTCTTTCCTCTAATCTCCCAAACTCTAATAGATTCTACTCCTTGATTTTGCCTTTCAGATATTGGAGCTTCTTATGAAACCTCATTCCACTCCATTTCACTATTGGACTGCTTTCTAGCCACCACTCTTTGACTTTCTTTATGAACCCCGGGTGTCCTAGCCACATGTTTTCAAACCTAAAGGGAGCAGGACCAGCACTTCTCACTTCCTCCCTACAGATTACAATATGCCAATGGTCAGAAGTCACCCTTGGATATGGTCTAGAGTTTAGATTCCCCCAATGTTCTTCCTAATCATTTGAGAATAGAAATCTATCCAGCTTAGAGCAAATCGGGTTCACTTGGAGATTGGACCAAGTAAAACAGCTGTGTGATAGTGGGATCTCTTTAAGCTCGTAAACATCCACAAATTGATTGAATTTCCTCATACTCAAGGTCGACCTCCGCCTTAGACTATTTGTCTCTTCCAGGAATCTTATAACATTAAAGTCACCTCCAAGGCACCAAGGCCCTTCCCATAGTTCCCTTATAGTCCCATAGTCACCTCCAAGACAGCAAGGGTTTTCTATATAAGTTTTGGGTTTTGCTATATTTATCTATTGATTATGGAGATGTTATTTTTGATACTTCTTTAAAGATACAATACTACTAGTTTTATTTATTTATTTATTTAGTCATGTGGTGTTTCAGAATATTCAGATGCAATCGTCAGATACTGCAATGTTAATCCCCCAACATAATTACAAGCTTGATGTTCATTCTCTAAATGCTCGTCATCCTGGAGAGGTATGGTTTTAAGTCAATTATCAAAATTTGTCAGTCAACATGTGGTTGCCAATTTTTGATACCTATCATTTTTATTCTGTATGCATAAATATTGGGAAAACAACATTTTTATATTTATGCTTGTGTAGTTTATCAAAAAGAAAATTTGTTTTTGTATTTTCTGGATTGGATCTAAGTTCTACCTGACTTTACTAATGTTCATTGAGACTCATTTGGAAATGATTTTTGGTCCACTTTACAATATTATAATCACTCTCCTTAAGAACATATATTTATTTTGTGTGTCCATTTTACCATGTCAATGCTTAATAAGACAATGCATTCTTCTACCTCCCTGTCCAACAAAGGTCTTCTACTTCTGGCACCAGATTACTTGATTCCCTCTACCTTCAAAGCATTGAGAGAGATTTGGTGGAACTTTGGGTCTCGATGGGTAGAGGTTGTAAAATGGTAGAAAGGGGAGGTCTGAAATCTACGAGTCAATGGTTTAAAAGATGCGCCTAGGTGCATTTTATGGTATGCACCTTGTCTAGGTCACAGACGCAGCACTTTCAAAAGGCGCATGCCTGGTGTGCAAGGCGCCTAGTGTGCCTTGGGTCTGGACTTGTAAGATATGTATCTCATTCTTTTAGATAAATTGGGCCATTAATTACAAATTAAACCTTATTTAATCTTCTGAATTAAATGGGGAAATCAAACCCAAATTTATCACATGAGTAGTGGATACCAAACTTACTCGACAAGGGCCGGCATCCCAATTGAATAAAGGATTCAATCTAGAAATCAAATATCACATCTCTCTGATCATTTTTCTAAAGGCACCTAGATCTTTCTCTAGGGCATTATCCATGTTGGTCCTGGCTATTTGGATGGGATATTTACCTAAAGGTAGGCATCTTTTGCACAAAGTGGACACATTCAGACTTGGATCTGTGTTCTCACACATGTGAACCTAAGGTTCTATTGCACCAAGTAATAGAAGCCCCTTTCTCCTCATCTCGCTTGTCCATAAGCTAGTTGTTTTCTGTCAAAAGTGCTACTGTACTTGGTTGTTGCTTAAAGCATTGACATGGTAGTTAAATTTTATTTTGCTTGTAAAAGAAAATTCATTGTGGTGTTACTGAAACATGTTAAACTGCAGTTTGAATGTAGGGAATTCAGAGAATCAATTCTTGGGGTCATGCCACATCACTGGGTAATTATCTTATGCTTCCTCTTTTCCCCTCCCCTTTTAGATTGATAAGAGTGTTGAATTAAATCACATTATGGTTGCATCTTAATCAGGATAGGAGGGAAGACACTTCTTTCCACCTGACAAACTTCAGAAGGCACAAACGAAAATCATTGAAGAGAGTTCCTGGGAAAAGTGCAAATTACCCTTTCCATAAGCCCGAGGAAAACCATCCTCCAGGGAAGGACTCAACAAAGAAAATTGCAAATTTTATTGGGAAAGCAGCAAACTATGCTGGCTCTGCAAAATCCAAGAAGGTAAAATTTACTATATTTATATATTATGTTACAAAAGCAAAGAAGCTGCATTACCTATAAAAATACTTAACAATATCATTTCAACAAGAATCCATGTAATTGATGGGAAGTTTTTCCAAAGAACTATGTTATTAAGTCATATCATCATTGTCTTCTTATCTCAATCAGGATTTAGGATTGGCCTTCTCCTCAGTGGTCTTCATAGAACATTTTGTTACTGTTGTTATTATATGGTTAGTATGTTATTTTGCAGTCAGCATCCTTTTTTATTAGATTGTGCTGCCTGGTGCATTATTGTAATTTCTCCCTTTTTATTTTGTTACCCTATTATAAAGGAGAGGGTGCCACCTGCCTATTCTTTTGGTTCCCTAAACACTTTCTTCTCTTCTCCTCTCAATTCTCTGTTGTTTTTTGGGTGAAAACATGGTATCAGAGCTGAACATTAGGCAGTAGAAGCATTAGATCTCTGTTCTTACCCAAAATCTTTATGTTTTTTGGAATGTGGAGTGTTGACCTCTTAATTGGTCTGATCAAATCAGCAATTTTCTTTTTCTTTGTTCTCTCTTGGTAGTAACACCAAGGAGAATAGTTGGTGACAGTTCGATGCAGTAGAGGTGAGGTTTTTTGGGGTGTGTGTCTTCGTATCTGTATGGAAAAGGAGTTGTTGACTCCTTCATAGGTGGTATGTACAATTCTTATTGCTGCATGGTGTATGTGAACTGAGGGTGATTAAACCTTGGTGTATATGAACTGAAAGTGGCTAAACCTTCAGGTTCTAGTGCTGTGCAGCTGTGGCTGTTTGGTGTTTCAGCAGTTCAATTGACTCCTTTGAATAATTCAGTTGATGTTTTTGTGTCCCTATTTGCGATCATGGGTGTTGGAGGTGAGTTGTGACCAGTTGTACACTTCAGCTTCTTCCTACTTTAGTTTCTAGTGTTTGTTTTAATGGTCACTGATGATTTTGCTTCTTCTGCAGTTTCCTTGTCATGTGGGACAACTAGTTTAGGGGTTGATAACATGGCTTTCCTCATGTCGACCACCCCCTTGAATGGCTTGAACTATTTGGATTGGTCTATGGGTTTAAAGCTCCATGTTACTGTAAGGGGAAAAGCTGGATATATTAATGGAAAAGTGAAAGAACCTAAAAGTGGAATTGCTGAATATGATAGGTGGGACCATGAGAATAGTATGGTGATGTCTTGGCTTCTTGTAGCCATGAAGCCCGATGTGAGGAAGAGTTTTTTGTGGACAGATACTGCTAGTGAGATATGGGAACAAGCAAAAATAACTTTGAGCAAAGGCATTATGCCAAGATTTATGAATTACAGGCTGAATCCTTAACTTGTAATTTGGGGGATTGTAGTTTGTCAGTCTACCACTCAACCCTTATCTTAGTGTGCAAGGAGTTAGACCACTACCTAGCTATTGAGTGGAAACATGATGATGATGCCAAGACATATGAGAAGTTGGTCTCTCAGCAGTGGGTATTTGCCTTCTTGTTGGGGCTAAAACCCTGTGTATGAGTCCCTTAGAGTTCAGATTTTGGGGAGTAGTGAGCTGCCTTCAATCCAAGAAGTGTATGCCCTGGTCCAGGCTGTGGAAAATAGACACAATATGATGGTTACAATTGATGGGAAAAGCAACAGGTGGCTTTACTTGTAAAAGGTGGCAATCATGTGATGAAGAAGAGTGATACCAATAAGTATGATGATAAGGACAAGTTATGGTCTACCCATTGCCGCGTTCTAGACATACATGTGATACTTGTTGGAACCAAGGTTTAAAATGTTGATGCCAACGGAAATCTTGGTTACCCAAATATGGAACATATGTTGGAAATGTTGGATGGAAATATTGTAAAAAGTATAGACATTGTGGAAGTATTCTGAAATATGGGGAAATATGGAATGATGATTTTGTGAATTGATAAAAGAAGCATTAATACACCATTCTAGACTAGTATCTTATTCTAATAAGTAATTAGTTTAATCATTTTTTTTATTTTTGTTTTTTATGAATATTTTATCTAAACTATTAACTTTCTTATTATTTATTCATTTTTATTGGCTTTATATTAAGGGGTCTACAATATTATTGTACACCTACATGTATTGTAATAGGAGTTTACTAAAGATTCTATTCATAAGTTTTCTATTATGAGGTTTGTAATATTACATTAGACCCTCTTGCATTGTAACATGTTTGTAGGTGTTTTAAATATTATGTTTAAAGGCTTTCTATCCTGATGGAGCAATTGACATTGTTAGAATACCAAGAGATAAGTCCAACCCAACCAGGTACTCTTGTCCTTGTTGATTCCTTTGTTCCCATTTTAGTTGATGACCATATGGATGACCTAGACATTCCCATTGCCCAAAGAAAGGATGTCAGACCATGCACCACTAAACATCCCATCGCCTATTATATGTCCTATGACCATATTTCTCCCTCTTATTGTGCCTTTTTGTCTGTTGTTGACAGTATCCCCTTATCCAAAAAGTGTTGCAGAGGCCTTAACATACTTTGAATGGACAGATGCTATGAAGAGGGGGATTAATGCCCTCCATAAGAACCATACTTGGGAGTTGGTGGATCTTCCAAAAGGGAAAGACCCAATAAGGTGTAAATGGGTGTTCACAATGAAGCACAAGGTGGATGGCACAATAGAAAGTACAAAGTAATGTTGGTGGCAAAGGGGAACACTCAAGTATATGGCATTGACTATGATTTGCCCTAGAAGCAAAGGTGAATTTTATCTGGGTTCTTTTATCATTGGCTGCCAATCTAGACTTGGAGTTGCACCAACTTAATGCCAAATGTTTTCTTGAATGGTGATCTAGAAGAAGTGTATATGGTTCAACCACCAAGTTTTTGTGCCAAAGTACAACAAGGTGTGTAAGTTGAGGAAGTCCCTATATGGTTTAAAATAGTCTTCCAGAGCTTGGTTTAACAGGTTTCATATGGTGGTTTAGTAAGTAGGGCTTAAATATTGTCAGTCTGTCACACCCGTTTTGTCAAGTGGTGTTAGGGATGGATTGTAGTGTTGATAGTGTATGTAGATGACATCATCATCACAGGTAACTGGGGCTTTGAGATATAGAAGTAAAAGGAGTTTCTAGTCACCCAATTTGAAGTGAAAGATCTAGGACCCTAAAAGATTTCCTTGGGTCGGGGTTGCCTACTCACAAAAGGGTATCTTTGTCTCTAAAAGGAAATACATCCAATCTCAAATGAGAAAAAAATTAATTCAAGCTGGGAAATTGAAGGGGTAACACTATCTAATCAAAGGGAGATTGCTGGAGCATTTTCTGATCATTTTAGATATTTTTTTTAAAAGACCCAATGATTTAAAAGGCATGCCTAGGCGCATAGGCGAGGCACATTTTAGGATAGGCGCCTTGCCCAGGTCCTAGGCACAACACTTTCAAAAGGCACACGCCTGATGCGCCTTGCACCTTGGACTAGGTGTGGGCCTTTTGAAAATTGTATGTTTTTTTTGCCTTTTTTGAACCTAGCCGCTGGGGCCGAGGGCTCCGTTCCTAGTCCCTCGACCACGCCCCTCGAGGCAAGCCCAAACAAGTCCATGTTAGGGTCTTAAAATCTTAATTCTCGCACAAAAGTTAATGAATTTTAATTGCGTTTTAAGAAGATATTTTATTAAGATGAATGAATGAACAACATTAGCAAATAGGGGGTTCTTGAAGCGAGCTCACCGAAGCTCCGAGAACCCCCTTTTTTCTAATGTTGTTCATTCATTCATCTTAATAAAGTATCTTCTTAAAAGGCAATTAAAATTATAAAATCATTGTTTTTTGTGTGAGAATTAAGAATTTAAGGCCCTAACATGGACTTGTTTGGGCTTGCCTCGAGGGGTGTGGCATAGTGGCGACTCATAGAATCAAGGATGTAATATGTTTTACATCACATTAGCTACTTGAAGTAATGCAATTGAAGAAAAAAAGAGATTGTGGACTTTACAAGCTTGAAAATGTTTTATATGTTTGATTTTATTTTTAAATTTTCATTTGAATATGCTTTACATGTTATGTTTATGTATTTTAATTTTAGATAATAGGTTTTTTAAACCATTAATTTTAAAATTTAAGTTTATATTTCTTATTAATGTTATGTTTAATATTTTTTATCTTTTTTTGCATTTTTTTGAAAAATTTGGCATTTTTTTGAATTTTCTGACACTTTCTTAATTTTTAACAGTTTTTTTGTATTTTTGCGCCTTGCGCTTTTAAAACACTAAGAAGACCCATAAATAACATGGTGTGGCTTGAGGGGTTGGATTGGCCACCCTTGAGTGTAGAGGATAGGGAGTGATTGGGGGAGGGAATTTGACTTGGAAGAGGTGAAGGAGGCTATCGATAGGTCAAAGGCACCAGACCCAAATGAATTTACAATGGCATTTTATCTGGACTTTTGGTGTTTGATGAATTTACAAAGAGGACCTAATGTTGGTGTTTGATGAATTTCAAAGGTGTTGTCTCAAAGATTCGTGCTTGGTGAACAGTTTATATAAAATCATTGCAAAGGTGTTGTCTCAAAGAATAAGATTCATGCTTCCCTTTATCATATCCCCAAACCAAGGAGCCTTTGTAAAAGATAGACAGATTGTTGACCAGATCTTAATTGCGAATAAAAGTGTTGAGGATTTCAGAAGAAATGGAAAGAAGGGTGTAGTTTGCAAGCTGGATATGGAGAAGGCATACAATTTGGTGGATTGGTCATTTCTGGTGGAAGTCATGAAGAACTTTGGCTTTTGGGAGAAATGGTGTAAATGGATTCGAGGTTGTTTGAGGACTTGCCACTCCTCAATTTTGGTGAATGGGATTGTAGTTGATGTCTTCCCAGCCATTAGAGGGATCAGGCAGAGCAACCCTTTATCCCCCTTTCTTTTTACTTTGGTAGCTGATGTGTTAGGGAGGCTAATACAAAAATTAGATTCTTGGGACCTGGTGAGAGGGTGGAGAGTGGGAAGAGATAGAGTGCCTATTACACATCTGCAGTTTGCTGATGTCATGATTCTTTTTTGCGAAGGGGGTGACCTTAGATGGGTAAGGAATCTAAAGCTAGTGGTCCAACTCTTTGAGCAAATGCCAAATCTGAAGATTAATTTTGATAAGAGTTGTGTAGTAGGTGTGAATATAGATGCAAGGGGGGATGTTAGATTGTGCTGCTATCCTGGGTACTTGGCCTATAAATTACTTGGGCCTTCCACTAGGGGAATAGTCCGAGAAATGGCAACTTCTGGAACCCAATGTTGGAGAGAGTCACAAAGAGATTAACTTCTTGGAAGAGGATTTACCTTTCTTTGGGTGGGAGGATAACCCTAATCAAATCGACCTTGGCCAACGTACTTGTTTGTTTTCTATTGGTTTTTAAAATGTTAGTGGGGGTCTCCAAAAGTCTAGAGAAGATAATTAGAGATTTCCTATGGGAACTTGGGGAGGAAAAAAGGGACCACAGGGTCAATTGGGAAACTGTAACCAATGGTTTGGACTTTGGAGGATTAGGAATTGGCAACTTTTAGAAAAGAAATACAGCCCTACTAAGGAAGTGGTTGTGGAGGTTTCCAATAGAGAAGGATATACTGTGAGCCAAGGTGATTTTGAGTATTCATGGGTTGAGGATTGAAGGTTGGGATGCAGGAGTGTTGGCTTGAGCTACTAGTGCTTCTCCTTGGAAGTCGATGCATGCTATCCTACCTTCCTTCCTTCCTTTTATAAGGTATGACCTTTGCTCTGGCAGCTTGGTTAATTTTTGGGAGCACTTGTGGGTAGGAGACTCACCCTTGAAAGATTTTTTCCCCTCTCTCTATGCTTTGTCTGATTATAAGAATAAAACGGTTTCCAACTTCCTTTCTTCTAATGCTGATGGTCTTGAGCTTGATTGGGATCTGGGTTTCAGAAGGGGAACCAGGGATTCAGATCTAAACAGCCTTTTGTCACTTCTTCATATCTTGCAAGGTGTCTGCCTGGACCCTTCAAAGGCGGATTCACGTCAATTTGCAAACTTTATTTGGGAATGGTTTACTTCTTTGTTTGGATGCAGGTGGAACTCCCCATTGAATGTGCCAAGCTTGTTTACCTCTTCTTCCATTTGGTCAACAAAAAGAGCAAAGGTTATGTGGAGATGTGTTAGGGTGACAGTGTTGGACTATTTGGGAAGAAAGAAATTCAAGGATCTTCTCAGAAAAGGAGAGAAGTGTGGAAGCAGTGACTCATATAAGGGTAATTTATTGGCTGAAAACCTTGGATCTGTTTGCAGAATTCTTAGTAGATGATTTGATTAGAAATTGGAAGGAAATTGCAAATTCAGCTTCAGGTAGGAAGGTCTCAAGCTCCTATTGGATCCCCCCACCTCTTGGTTTTACCAAACTGAATTTTGATGGCAGCAGCATAGGTAATCCAAGGCCTTCTGGAATAGGGGGAGTTATAAGGGATGAAAAAGGGAATGTGTTAGCCTTGTTCACTGGTCCAATTGGAGCAGGAGACTCACTGAGAGCTGAGATATTAGCAGCTCTGAAAGGGATTCAAAGGGCCAAGGACTTGCATATAGGGGATAAAAAAGGGAATGTGTTTGCCTTGTTCTCTGGTCCAATTGGAGCAGGAGGCTCACTGAGAGCTGAGATATTAGCAGCTCTGAAAGTGGTTCAGAGGGCCAAGGACTTGCATATAAACAAGCTGATCATTGAAGGTGACTCTGAGACTGTAGTGAGCTGGTTAAAAGAAGACAACACTAGGCTCTGGAACTATAACAATGAAAAGAGGAAATTTAAATAGCTGACCAAAGACATTGAAGTTCGATGCACATGGATAAAGAGAAGTGCAAATTCATTTGTAGATGGCTTAGCTGGGCAAGGGGTGAATAGGAATTTTGTTTTTTGGGCTCAGTTGTAACTGATCTTGTATTTTGGGTATACATTGCTAGTAGTGGGGAGTTAAGATATTTTAGCTCCCTTCATATTATTTTCCTTAATCAATTAATGAATTATCAGTTATTGATAAAAAATCCTAAATCTCTTGCTAGACAGGCAAATTAGGTGCAAAGCCAATTGATACCCCTATTGATGTTAATCATATACTAGGTGATTGTGATGGAGAACCTTTGAAGAATGTAAAACGATTTCAAAGGTAAGTAAAGGAACAATGGTAGAGCCACTATTTTATTTAAGTTAAGGGAATTAGAAACAGAAAATACAAAAGAAAAAAGAAAACTCTTTGTCATTCCCTTCTTTCTTTATCTCTTCTCAAAGCCTTGGGATCTTTTTATTTTTAATAGCAAAACTTTAAAACAAAGCATAAATGATATATATGGTTTATAATATATAAGGTGCTCGTCTTGTGATTTTTGTTGTCTAGGTGGGTGCCTTGTTGCTATAAGTCAAGGTGTTAAGACAAAACACCCAACAAAGGGCACCTAGTTGACTAGGTGACACCTCAGCAACTATGATGTGACTTTTCATTTTGAAAACACGAACTTAAATAGATGAAAGCATCCTATAGCCATGATGCTACATAAGTCATAAGCTGAGTGTGTTTTCCTGCCCTTATACCTGGCCATGTTTAATGAAACTTATATTTCTTTTGGTAAGTTCTGTTGAAGTCCACTTTTTGTTGATGGAAGTATCATGATTGCATTTTAACGCTTAGCATGTTAACATATATGTGTATCTTAGCTTCTAGTAAGTTAGATTGTCCTTTACTATATTTTCCAATGCTATGAGCAAAATCAGGAGTCAATTGCTTATATTTTATTAACATGCATTTTGCATATGGTGTATTGCTTATACTTTCCCTTCTAGGACTAATGCAACATAAAAGATGTTTTTCCTACTGACCTTTACCCCAAGATGGGTCACTTTGGGTTGCTGATGCTCTTCACTAACTTCTTAATTTCATTAATGCAGCGGTTACCTTATTTTCCCACCATAACAAATCACACTCAGCTATGGTGGGTTCCTAATGTGGTAGTGGCTCATCAGAAGGAAGGGATAGAAGCAGTTCATTTGGCTTCTGGCCGCACTGTTTGTAAGGTAAAATCTGGTCATCATGTTTTGAATAGATACTTAGACACACATATATGGTATTTGGAGACTAAAAAAATATTATATCGTCTGGAGACTAAAAAATATTATTATATGGTATCTGGGCTGTGCCTCCCTCCCCTAGAATATTTTGGGGGGTCGGCCCAGCACGGCCCATGGCCCGAGCCAGCACTGGCCTTCGACCCAGGCTGGGCTGGTCCGTGGGCTGACCCTTGGGCCAGGCCGGGCCAAAGTTATATATACAACAATTAAATAAAATAGTATAATAAAATTGAAAAAATTGTTTATTTTATTAATATATTATATACTATATATAAAATATATATATGGGCCGTGCCAGTCCACGGGCCATGGGTGGCACGGCATGACAGTGTGGCCCATGCCGAAACGGCCCGCTGACCTGAAATCCCAAGCTCGGCATGGTCCATCGGCTACAATAGTGCAGGGCTGCAGCACAGGTTGTGGGCCATTGGGCCGGGCCGGCTCAAAATTGTGTCGGGCCGCGTGCAGCACAGCCCGATTTACACCTCTAGTAATCCCTGATCATTATTTGATGGTCCTTGAGATTAAAATTGGATATGGGATAATTTTATTTGATGCATGAAAAAAAAATTCCAGGTTGATTCAGAAGCCTCAGGCGCTGGCATTCATTTATCAAAAGCAAATATGGTCTCAAAGCTACTGAATAGGATGCAGTGCCTACGGGGAGGGGTTACTCTGGCATTTTATTGGAATTCTTGATCCCATCCTTTTCTTATCCAGTTTGTTTTATGATTCAATCTTTTGTAGTGTTCAGTTTTCTATGTGATGGGCTTCTTAGACTTCAATCCATCTTCAGCATCTTACACCCCCATCCTAGAATCTAGGCTTTCATAGATGATATAGGATCTGTCAAGGGTTCTGGGCTCCCTTAACTTGACACAGGGTGCATATTAAAAGGTTTGAGAAAGCATTGTCTACCACAATAATCATCATAATTTGACAAATTTTAACCATCTCATGGGTGCATTAATTTGGAATCTTTCTTGAGCTTTAACAGGATTTTTTCATGGTCCAAATAAAAAGCATAAAATCATGTAGCTGTGATATCTATTCAACCTGATATTTGGCCAAGTCAGTCTCACAACTGGTGCTCATCCTTTGGCTGGTTTTAACATGCACAGCATAGGGAATTCTGGGAGCTCAGGTTCATTTATTATTGGGTCCTGTAGCCTTGGTCCCACAACATCAATTTATTGGATGCTTTTTGAAGATAACCACAAACAGTAATTTGAAAGAGATCCTAGGGGATGTTCAAGCTTTATTGTTGGGTGACTCTTGAGTCTCGTCACTTTTATCCCCATTGAGTATGATATAGCTAATCCAGTCCTTCAGCTTTGATCATGTGTGCAGTATCTTAGCCCATTCCAGACAAATCCTACAATTTATTGGGCTCTTCTCCTAGGTTTTGAACTCTTTCCTAAGTTTTGACTGCAAGGAATTTGTCTTGGATGGATTTCGTCTTAAGAAAAATGGAATTGTGTTTTATTAAGTAAATCAGCATAACAGTAGATAAATAAAAATAAGGTAAAAATATTAGGGGGAAGAATGGAACCAATGCTAAAACATAAAGAGTAGGGGGAAGATTGTCACAGAAACTCATGGAATGATTTCTGATGCCTTGTATTTTTCTGAGCCTATTCCATAGTGCTTAACAGATGTATATTTTGCTTGAGGAATCTTTAAGTTTTATAAATGTTGAATTCAATTCCTTCCAATCGTAAAAGCTTGTTTAGATTTTGCCCTAAAGTTGCAGTATCTAAACTGTTTTTCTATCATTCTTCATCCACATGATTGAGGGGTGGTCTCTTATACAGTTATACCACTATTGGTGCATTGTCTTAGACCCGTGTCTTCTTATGCATCTGAATATAAGATATACCATGTGATCATTCTTTATTTCACGATATTATCTCTCTCTCAGATTTGTTGTTATATCAGCATCAATAGATTTGTGTAATGAGATTTTCATTCTATCTTTTTCCAGCTTCATCTTCAAGAAGGTGGCCTCCATGCTGATATCAATGGAGATGGCGTCCTGGATCATGTTCAGGTGCCAAAATCTTTTTACTTGGACAATGCCTGCCTTTATATCTGATAGCTTTTTTCCTTGCAAAATGAAAATTGAAATGCAAATTCCATCTGAGGCATGCAGTGCAAATTCCATACGCGGTATGAAGTATTTAGGATGAGTTTTGTTTTAGGAGATTAAATTAGGTTTGATTTGTAATTAGGCAACCTACTTTATCTGAAGAATGGTACCAGCACCAATGTAACACTTTGAAAGCTTTTGTCTGGGTTTTCTATTTGAATTATAAAACTGAAATTAAATTTGAATATTTGATTTGATATGAGCAGCTCTCTTGCTTTGGTTTGGAAACAACATGATTCTAGAATTTAGGAAATGGGGTTTAGAGTCAGAGTGGGCCCAAGACCACTTTTTATTTTGAATTAAACTATATTTACCCTTTTCTGAGTGGGAAGCTAGCCACATGTTTGAAGGAGAAGCCCTCCTGTTGGAAGGCTTTGCTTTAATATAGATGTATTTTTAACTCATGACAATGATTTCACTTGTTTGGATGCTACTCAGTTATTTTAAATTTTTAGGTGATTTTCATATCAACTTGCATAATTTAAACCAGTATTTCTACAACCTTGAGATAAGCATATGGAGCTGTCAAGTGTCAACTGGTTGAATCTCCTGTTCCTTGTATTCTCATCATCATCTTCTCCATACCATCAGTGGCCCTTTCTTGATGTGATGTATTGGACAAGGCATTGATATCTGTGGATCACTTGTAGTTTCTTCTATTGGCTTATAAAACAACACCACATGTGAACCAGTCACCAGAGAAACCTTCTGTTCAACTTAATGTACCAATTAAATCAGTGAAGTAATATTAGAATTCTGAAGGCATTAATGTCATAGAAATATATGAGTAATCTAATACATACAACTTTGCACAAGTCGATTGGATCCCTAATGTATTGATTTGAATATATCCATATTAATCCAAGTAATTCTTAATGGATCCTGCCAAGGCAATCTGAAAGATGGTGCATATCTAGCTTAATCTGATTGATTGCCGATCAGGTTCCAACCCATTGACAGCCTATTTAGCCATGTGATGCTGGGTGGCTCAGTCACATGATAAATAATACTTTATCACAAGAATGTTGAACAAAAGATTGCAAACATGTTAATGGTTTTCATTTTTGCAAGCCAGCCATAAAATTGTTGAGGTAAATACTTCAAGATCTTGGAAGGAACTGAATATGGATGTGATGATATAGGGGGGAAGATAATGTGGGAATGCATCAGGGTAGCAGCCTTGTGGACAAGCATGACTTGGAAAGAGAGAATGAAAGAATCTTCAATGGAAACAAAAGATCAGAAGAAACATTAACAGAAACTATTATCTGTGACAGTTACATAGGGCACTTTTGATCTCTTCTTCATAGATAGCATCCCCGGTGGATGGTAGATGGTGGCATCTTCATCAACGGGCAAAGGATGGAGTGTACCTTGGACTCCACCAATGACAAATCAATTTAAGTTAAATTTTGATGAGTGCAGGAGGCGGCATTCAGGGCATGGGATTATACTGGCTATGTATTCTAGACTGGTGGGCAATGCAAATTACACAAGAGCTGAACTATTGGTGGCACTACAAGGATAAGGAATGGGATCGATAGATCATTCTACTGCAATTTACAGGTGGAAGGAAACTTAAGGTGTTGTAGGGATCAGAGTGTTGGGTAGTTAAGAAAAAGCATATCCAAAAAATGAATGTGTGGCAAGTTACCAGAAAAATGTGGCAGAAATGTGAATGCTTAGATGGATGAGTGGTAAAACTAGAAAGAAAAGGGTCTCATATGAAGGAACCTAGGAGTATCTCCAATAGATGATAAAATGAGAGAATGTAGACTGCCATGATTTTATGTATTATTTTTAACACTAGGAGTATGCCTTTCCTTTTACCTTATTTAACACTATTGGTATTGCTAGCTTCTCTTCCATTAGCACCCTCTCTTGGTTTTCCATCTTTGTTTGATTTCCTTATGTTTTACCAAGACTCTTTGATCTTTATTTTTAATGCGTCTAACATGTTTTTTTTTTTTTTTTATCAATAACAATCAGCTTTTTTTTTTTGATCAATAACACCATCTTCATTAAATTAAAAGAAAAAAAAAGAGGGAAATATCACAAGATATAGGGGAGGTAAAATGACTTAACTGCCCATCAACAAATTACAAAAAGAGATAAATTAGAAATTAGCCCAAAACAAAGACACCCTACCCTATTTACCCCTTGCTTAGCTAACCCATCGGCAAATGAGTTGGCATTTCTTTTCACCCGGCTGTACTTCACCTCAATGTCCCTAGCAAACCATTTGAACTGTTTTCCTTTCATTGCTATAGCTCGATATGGTACTGTTGGGCCTGAATACAAGGCCAGAATAGACCCTTCCTCATTCCTAAAGACACCCCCAATCCCAGACATCCCTAGATTTCCAAAATGACTCCCATCAAAGTTCAGTTTTATGAATCCAGAGGGTGCGGAAGTTCAAATGGAGATAGAAATCCTCTTAACTTGAGCAGAGTTTGCTCTCTCTTTCGAATTTCTCAGCAAGTCAGTCATGGAAAGGTCTGCAAAAAGGTACAATGATTTCAGCCTGTGAACCACCCTTAGCTGTATCAAATCTGTTTAGCTCTTCGCTGTTCTTTCCTTGTCTGAAAATATGAGAGTTACTTTCTTCCCATAAGGGCCAACGAACTGTTGCCCTGATGCATCTCCACATAATCCTCCCTCTTTTCTTAGGCCAGCTGAAAAAGGACGAAGAGAATAGACTTTGCACATTCAAAGGGGGGTTCCAATTACACCCAAAAAAGGGAGAAAGCCCACTCCCAAATAGATATAGCAAACATGCAGGTAAACATAAGGTGGTAGCAAGTTTCCCCATCAACCTTGCAGAGAGAACACCGATTTGGGGATGAACAAGAATTAGGTCTCTTTCTTTGAAGCAGGCCACTTGTGTTGATTCTTTCCAAGAAAGTTTCCCAGCAAAAACTACCAACCCGAGGAGGAATGGGCTTACTCCTAACCTCTTTAACAGGGAAGGGCAACCCAAGAGGAGTAGAAGGATGAGTTAAGGTTTCAAAAAGAGGCACAAGAGAAGGCACTAAGGAGGAGGGGGTCCAAATTCTGATTTCTTCTTTAGTGGGGTCCATGAAAACATTATCAAGGATGTTTAACAAAGTCAAAATGTAATCCAAATCTGTATCCCTAATGGCCCTTCTCAGGCCTAGGTTCCACCCAAAGCCAGAAGTTGAGTCTGAAGGAACTAAGAAGGAAGAAATAGGTTCATTCTTTAGGTCTGACAGGACAAACAATGAGGGGAACTATTCCATCAAAGGGAAATCCCCAACCCAAGTTTGTTCCCAAAATTTTATTAGGTTACTTGAGTTCAAGCCATACCTGATCCAAGGAGAGAATGCTGGAAGTATATCATGGATAGATTTCCTCGAAGATGCAGCTGTAGCTCTTGCCAAAATTCCAGAATCCTAGCCATTGTCCTCCAGCCCATGAATGCTAGCCACAATCTTCATCCACAATTTGTCCCTTTCCAAAAGAAATTTCCACAATCACTTCCCTAGCAAGGCCATGTTTCTTTTCCTAATATTCCCTATCACAAGACCTCCTAGGCTTTTACTTCTAGTTACCACCTCCCAACCCACCCTATGATCCTTCTCCTCTGCTGGCTCCCACAAGAAGTCCCACATTAATTTCTCCAACACTTTTTAGGCTTCTTCTACATTCACCTTATTTTTTAACACTAGGAGGCACTAAATAAGATGAAGGAAAAGGCATTAGGACATGACGGGATTCCAATAGAAGTGTGGCAATGTAGGAGAGATAGGCTTGTTATAGCTAACTAAGCTATTTAGTAAGATAGTAAAAGAAGAGGATGTTGTAATGACTGAGGGATTAAATTCATGAGCCATATTTCTTTTGAGACGATTAATGCGCCATATTTCTTTTAGAGAACCAATTTGGCTTTATGCTAAGGAGATCAACCATGGGAGCTATATTTCTTTTGAGACGATTGATAGAAAAGTTCAGAGAGAAGAAGAAAGATCTTAATATGGTGTTCATTGACCTAGAAAAGGCTTATGATAGAATTCCTAGAGAGATAATATGGTGGATCTTAGAAAAGAATGGGGCTCAAAATAGGCATATAGACCTAATTAAGGATATGTATGAGGGGGCAACAACCAATGTTAGAACACCAGTGGGAGGGACTTTAGGTTTTATAATTATGATTGATCTTCAGCATTTATCCCTTATCTATTTGGGATTGGTTATAGATGAATTGACTAAACATATTAAGGTGCATGATGTTTGCGGATGACATTGTTTTAATTTATAAACGAATGAAGGATTAAATGCAAAATTAAACTTATGGACAAATGCCCTAGAAATAAGAGGTTTAAAATAAGTAGGACTAAAACAGAGTATGTGACATGTAAATTTAGTAATAATAGGAGTGTAAATCAGAAGACACTTGGGATTGGAAACCAAGAGATAACTCAATGTGACCATTTCTGCTATCTTAGTTCAATAATTCATAACAAGGGAGAGATTGAGGAGGATGTCACCCAGAGAATTAGAGCAGGTTGGGCAAACTAGAGGGGTGCATCTGGACTTTTGTGTGATTGGAGAATGCCACTTAGATTAAAAGGAAAATTTTATAAAATAGTTTTAATGGAGTGGAGTGTTGGGCAGTCAAGAAACATGTTCAGAAAATGATTGTGGCAGAAATGTGAATGCTTAGATGGATGAGTGAAAAAACTAGAAAGGATAGGATCAGGAATGAAGCCATCCGTAGAAACCTAGAAGTAGCTCTAATATGTGATAAAGAGAGTAGGCTAAGATGGTTTGATTAGATGCATAGAAGACCACCAACAGATCCAGTTAGGAATGATTTGTTAAAAGTGGAAGGGATTAGAAGAGCTAGGGGTAGACTAAACAGGACATGGATGGAGGTAGTAAGAAGTGATTTAAGCACTAATAATTTAACAGTGGATATGTTTTTAAATAGAATGGATTGACGAAGCAGGATTCATGTAGCCGACCCCATATGGTTGGGATAAGGCATGGATGATGATGATGATGATGATGATGGCTAGGGGTGTCCATTTGGTTAGTTCAGTTGTAATTGGGAACCTAACTAATTTTTTGCCTTGACCCTTTTGACAAACCGAACCGAACAAAGTTAAATTGGTCTGGTGTTTGAAATCGGTTTTACGGGCAAAGAGGGGTCGTCCAGTTATGTATAATATAAATATAAATATTTATAATTTAAATTTATATATATATATATATATATATTAATTTGGTTATTTTGGTTTTTGGTTCAGTTGAGAGATTTTCCAAAACCAAACTGAAACCGAAAGCCAAGTTTTCAAAAATATAAAACCGAACCAAAACCCAAATAAACTGAACCGAATTGGCACTGATGACATAAAGTTTGAAATCCTCAAGGTAAACTGTAAACATTTTGGCAGCAACTTTGCATGAATGTAATGATATAAATTTCTGAACTATTTATAGGTTGTTGGAGGTAATGGTGTAGAGCAGACTGTGATAAGTGGATCCATGGAAGTCCTCAGGCCATGTTGGGCCGTAGCCACATCTGGTGTTCCTGTACGAGAACAACTCTTCAATGCTTCTATATGCCACCATTCCCCATTCAATATGTTTCAACACGGAGAGTTCAGCAGAAGCTTTGGTCGCAGTCATGATGTAGGTTCTTTAGAGGTAGCAACACCCATTCTCATTCAAAGAAATGATGGTCATAGGCATCGGAAGGGAAGCCTTGGTGATGTTATTTTCTTAACAAACCGGGGGGAGGTATGGATTATGAACATAGTTTCATTTTTTCTTAATCTCAATTAGTGTACATTGTGCTGAACCAACTAATCTCTTGCTACTGGTTATTATGGTGGTGATTAACAACCTATGAATGTGTGCTTTTATAGGTGACATCATATTCCCCAGGCTTACATGGTCATGATGCTATTTGGCGGTGGCAGCTTATAACAGGTGTGACATGGTCGAACCTTCCATCTCCGGCAGGGATGATGGAATCTGGAGTAGTAGTGCCTACACTGAAGCCATTCTCCCTGCGTGTACATGACAACCAAGAAATCATTCTTGCAGCAGGAGATCAAGAAGCTGCGGTTATATCTCCTGGAGGCAGCATACTAACTACACTTGATCTTCCGGCACCTCCCACCCATGCCCTGATCTGTGCGGATTTCTCAAACGATGGCCTCACTGATATTATTCTTGTGACATCCAATGGGGTATATGGGTTTGTACAGACTAGGCAGCCGGGTGCCCTCTTCTTTAGCACGCTTGTGGGTTGCCTTATTGTTGTGATGGGAGTCATATTCGTCTCCCAACACTTGAACTCCGCAAAGGGAAAACCTCGACCTTCTACTGATTATAGATAGATGACAAATACGGTTTTTGAATAGATGCGGCTTCTGAGCTTCTTATTTTCTTCCAACATCACTGGCCTGATAAGGAATCACCTCCGCCTGGCCCCTTTCAGGGCAGCAAGGGATTACAAATTGTTCGAAGTCTACCCGAACCGTTTTTCCTCTTCCAACAGCTATATTTACCGTGTTATCTGACGAGTTTATGTATGTTGCTTGTATTATTTCTGTAATGTAGGTTATTAAGAGATTCTGAATCTGAACTAAGGCTCCATGTCTTTCCATAGATTTCCAAAGATACATCTTACAAAATATTATAATTTTGTTAAATTTCTTGATTAGTCCTTTAACCTGGATATATCTTCTGCTGCTACATGGGCGGTCATTCCCGTCTCTATTTCATTTTGCTTTCTGTTTCCTTTCCGTGCATCCGTGGGATAGATTTGGGGTCATTAAACGACTGTCGGAAATATCTAAAAAATGTATTTTAGTTCAACTTTTCAGGTCAATTTCCCTTGGGACAATCAACCCTCAAAATATAAGGTGTTATACTCTTTAATATTTTTTTATAACATTAAATGTATTTATATATATATATATATATGTATATTTTAGTAGATTCTATAATATGTGAAATGCAACGTTATCTACTTTGTAAGTTAAGAAAATATAGAAATATATATTTTTTAAAACTAAACTGTGCACAGGTTCGTGACCTTTCGTTAAATGGCTTGAAAAAACTATGCAGAGATTTTTTTTCATGCATCATAATTTTTATTTTATTTATTTTTGGTATTTTTCTGAAGAGCTAATTTGTGGTATAACCCATGTGTTATAGACCTGGCAATTGGGTTGGATGGGTCGGGTTCGGGTTGGGTCAAGACTCTTTGAGTTGATTTTGGGTTGGGTTATCAAATGCTAGACTCTAACTCTAAATGTTCGGGTTAGGGTTGACCCATGAGTCAATTCTGGTCATCTCAAAAAATAACTGATTTAAAAATATAAAAACTATATGAAACATGCCAAAATTAAAGGAATTAACCTTAAAATTCCAAATATAAAATAAAAAAATTGAACATTTAACAATTTAAAGAGTAAAAACTAAATAGAAAAAATGAAAGAGTGGAAACTTCTAACAATGCATAAATAATCCCTATTAGACTTGACAATCGGATCAACGGGTTGACCCATGACGCAACCCAACCCAACCCAAGTTTTTCTGAGTTGGGTCATTCTCGCATTCAGGTAGATAATTATGAGACCCTAACTCTGTTTTTGAGGGTTGGGTTGGGTCAGGTTCACGGATTGGATCAACTTTTTACAAGGTCTACATGTGTATATTTGTTATGTTTATAATTAGGGAAAGGATAGATTATTTGTACCTCTTGTAGGGCTTTGATCAATACAAGGAGAAATCATCATCTCGGGTTTACCTATTTACTTAATTTCTTGTAATCTAGGATTAAACTAATCGTTTTACCCCTCCATGAGCACGCTATCAATCTTAAGATTGACTCTGTTCATAAGACATCTAAAAATTTTCAAAAATCTATTTGATCATTTTTTGATTTTTTTTCTATATTATAAGTTCAAAAGAACCCTCATTGATCCTTCTTGAAGGGAAAAATGTTCTGCCAAAGATTGGTGGTGGGAGTACAAAATTGAAAACAAATTTAGGAAATAAAACAAAATAAAAAATTAAGATGGTAAAACTATTTTTTTGATAAATGATAAATAAATTAGGGGTAAAAGACTTAAAACATACCTCAAGTTTTCATAAATTAACTTAAAATTTTTCAAATAGATTTAAATATAACTTACGTGCTGACCCTATTAAACTTAAACATACCCTCCATTAATAAAATGTCACATATAAATTCACTTAAAATTTTTTAAAATCCTCTTTTGCCCTTTTAGGTTAAATCTCAAATCCTGACAAATGGAAGCAAAGAGCAATTAGTGATTCTGATTTTTTATATTACTTGAACCATCCTCTATTCCAGGACTTGTTACGCCGAGCCGGGGAAGAGTTTGGGTTCTATCCTCCACTGGGTGGCTTCACAATTCCTTGCAATGAAGACGCTTTCGTTGATCTAACTTGTATCAATGGGTGGCCCCATCTTTTTTTCCTTATTTTCTTTTTTCTCAGCTGCTTCATACATGATGGTTTCCAACTTGATGTGAATATTCATTTTACTATTAATCTGAAATGGAAAGTTAATTATGTACAAGAGGGGCCTCATCTCAAAATCTTTTTTATTGTTCACTATGGGGCCCAACTCAATCTACATGGTGCAGTACCAGAACTTGAGTGGTAAATCCAATCTTTACGGATAAGAAACAAATGACTTTAACTAGAAAGAGAGTACGAAACAACATTTTTTTCATAAAAAAGTTCCAAACAATGATACCCGAGCCAAGTGCAACTTATGTGAAACTAATATGAAATTGTCTTGATAAATTCATTGAAATGAGTATTAAATATTGTCATCAAATCTTCAACTAATTAATGAAAAAAAAAAATCAAAATAAGAACTTACCACCCTTGGGAGAGATGGCTCTGTATGAAGCAAACGTGATATGATTGTCGTTTATGTGCCTTTTTCACCCCTTTGGTGTCGGGACGGCTCTGTTTAACCAAAATTCTATAGATACGAGGGATGATATACCAACCAAGGTTTAAAATATCGATAAGTCCGATATGTTGGTAGTGGCATATCGGTTGAGACCCTGAAACACCCCTGTAGGGGTGTATCGGGAGGCCCCCGATATGATATGTATTAACCAATATGGCCCAATATGTATCGATATTTTGAACCTTGATACCAACCACCCACTGATCTCAAAAATTTAGGGTATATTTTGAAAATTTGAATGAAAATGAAGGGTAAAAGAGTCACAAGGTATCTTTAAGTATTTTTGAAAAACTTAGGGTACATTTAAGTCAATTTATGAATACTCAAGGTATGTTTAAGTCTTTTACCAAAAAATTGGAATAGTTAAAGTTTTTTCAGCATCATAAAATTTTCCTAATATTAACAGCCATCAGAGGGTTGGGTAACGGATAGGCCTATCGATGATACCTGAAAGTCTATGGCCTGATTTGATTATCTCGGTTCCGAATGATGAAATTATATAATTAGATCATATTCGGTTTTTGCAATATGTATCTAATTAATAATCAGATCAGATTCAGATTTGACTCCATCTAATCCGATTAAAACCGACTATGATAATATTATAATATTTATTGATTTTAATATATATAAATTTTATATTATTATATTTAAATTTATAAAAAATATATTTTTATATATTATATTATATATGAATTTATATATAACAATTTAGTATGTTATATTTACATTAATTTATTATATATAAAAGTTGAAAAGTACTTAACTTTTTAATTTTTTTTTTGTATTTTAAAAAATTAAAGCAGAGTCAGATTAAATTTGAATTTGATTAGAGTCTATTAGGATTTGAATTCAAATTCAAGGTCTTCAAATCTAATTGGATTTCAGGTTGGATTCGGATGCAAGTTTTCAATAATTAGATCGAATTTGAATTTTACTAAATTTGATCCGATTACAGCCCTAGTCAGGGTGGATGGGGGTGAATTAGGGGTGTAATCAAACTAACTCAAGCTGAATAGTAAGTAGCTTGAGCTCGAGCTTGACTTAAAAGCTCAAAGCTTAAAAATTGACTCAAGCTTGATCGAGTTTTGGAGTTTCTAGCTCGAACTTGACTCAAGTCAATATTCATGATTATGAGCTACTAGAGTTGATTATAAATGAATTAGTATTAAAAATTATAAATAAATTAATATTAAACATATTAAAAATAAAAGGTTAAATACTTAAAGTACCCCTATGATTTAGCAAATGGATAAAAACTTACTCTAATGTTTGAAGAATCACTTATAGAATCTTTAGGTTTTCTAACAATTGATATTATCCTTAAGTATTGACAAAAGAAAAAATGAAATGTTGAATTTGCACTCATTATTCCTCAAATTTTCAAAATAAAACCTAAGTGATGAAACTTTTCTCATTGATTCTAGTTTATTAGCCATTTCCTGTGACTTGGAAATAATTTGAGCACGAGCTAAATCCATTAGATGCATGGTCTGATCAGTTTATATTGAATACCTCGGTGGATTTTAAACCCCATTACATGATCATTTGGTCATTCACTGCATGAGGCTCAGTACAAATATAAATATGTAAAGTCCAAAACCTTATATTTTGTATTATTTTGTTTGCATTTCTAATATACATATTTGTATATTCTTTTCAAACTGAATCCGAAGTGCAAAACCATGCTCATTTCGGGAAGGATGCTTTACCTTTTATTATTTTTTTGCTTCAAATTCACCACCGGCTGCCTTGGCATCATTGGCGTCAGTATCATTGTCATCTTCATCATCCCCGGCAGCAGCATCAAATCCCTCTGATCTAGAACCTCCCATGATTAACGTATAGAAATCAAAATACCCAAAGTCCATGTCAGCTCCAAATTTACTTTCCTGCTCCTCATCATCATCAACCCACTTGTCCTAGTCAACTTTCAAAAACACCGGAGGTTTCCCTTCTTACTTTAATAATATACTCCATCATTTCTTCTATACCTTCTAGATAGCATATATTTCTTATTCCAAACACTAGCTTTGCTCTCATCCGTATCAACATTTATCATACAGGTCAATGTCAATTTCATATGGTGTCTTTCATGGGCCGGGTAGCCTGATGGCCCGGCCCGGCCTATATTTCGGTCGGGCTTGGTCATGTAATTAGGCCCATGGGTCTGATCTCGGGCCTAACACTATAAGCCCGATTGTATTTTGGGCCGGGCTCGAGATTTGTTAAAAAAGCCTTGCCCGGCCCGATTTAGAATTATATATTTTATAAAATATATAAATAATATAATATTTATTAAAATATATATTTATAATTTTAATATATACATTTTTTATTCTTTTCTTTATAATCTCTCTCTCTCTCTTTCTCTCTCTCTCTCTCTCTCTCTCTCTCTCTCTCTCTATATATATATATATAT